CTCTCTCTCTGTCTCTTCTCATTTTATAGAAAAGTGTTCCAAAAAAAAAAAAAAGATCTCATTCTTAAAAATTCTATTTAACGAGAAGGGTGACACTGAGACATTCTTAAAAATTCTTTTTTAAAAAGAACTTAGGGTCCTGATCTCATATGCTCCTCTTTTATACCCCATATTTATTATATTGATGATTAACATTTTTATATTTAATTAATGTTTAGTCAACATAGTAGATTCTTTTACTTCGAATTATGACCTTTAAATTTTATTTTTTTTTATCTTAGTTTTAATTGGTGTTTGAGCTTAGTTTTTTTATATAATAGTTTTCTTTTGTCGTATTTATATATTGCTTGTTTCTCTAATTCTTACAATTTACATAGGATTCTTTTTTTTTTTAGAATGGTAGTTCCAGAAAATCGAAGATGGATGTACAATAGAATCGATCCAAGTACTAAATGGGTTACAGTAGATTTTGAGCAAGGTATTGAGGAGTTTCTTGCCTATGCATTTCAATCACCTTATTCTCAAACATTAGGAGAGCTTAGGTGTCCATGTGTGAAATGTAAATGTAGGTCATATCTAAGTTTCGATGAAGTAAAAACACACCTTTATAAAAAAGGATTTATGCCAGACTACTATATCTGGACTAATCATGGTGAAAGACGAATAGAATATCCTTCACCTATTTGTCCAATACCAGGAGATGGCTCACATGTTGAGCATCATCCACTTGGTAATCGACAAAGTCAATATGAGACCATGGTGATAGATGCGGCTGGGCCGAGCTTTTGGGAAAATTATAATAAAGAAACTGAAGAGGTGCCAAATCCTAGTGCAAAAGCATTTTATGATTTGTTGCGTGCTGCACAACAACCCTTGTGGGAAGGGTGTGAAGAGGAATCTCAACTTTCAACGACTTTGCAATTATTAAGTATTAAAGCCACAACTAACATGTCACAACAAAGTTATAATTTAGTCTCCCAACTCATGCGAAGGACGCAGCCAAAAGACACTCGTATGCCTACAGATTTATACCAAACAAAGAAGTTAGTGTCGAAGCTAGGTCTTGATTATAAGAAGATTGATTGTTGTGTGAATGGGTGTATGTTGTATTATAAAACTGATGATAGTGTAACTCAATGTAAGTTTTGTTGTGAGGCAAGATATTTTTCTAAAAAATTTCATGGAAGAAAAAAGAATGTTGCAAGGAAGCAATTATGGTACTTACCTCTCATTCCCAGATTGCAAAGGCTATTTGCTTCTGAAAAGATCGCGAAGGAAATGAGATGGCACTATGAGAATCATCGAGGTTCTAATGTCCTTTCTCATCCTTCCGACGGCCAAGCATGGAAGGTTTTGGATAGTACATATCCAGACTTTGCATATGATCTAAGAAACGTGAGGCTTGGGTTATGTGTCGATGGATTTACACCATTTGGGCAATCTGGGAGACAATATTCTTGTTGGCCTGTGATTATTACTCCGTACAATCTACCACCTGAGATGTGTATGACACGAGAATACATGTTCTTGACATTGATCATTCCTGGTCCCAATAATCCCAAAGGAAAAATAGATGTCTATTTGCAACCTTTAATAGATGAATTAAAATTATTGTGGGATGCGGGAGTGCCAACATATGATGCCTCGTTAAGACAAAATTTTTGTATGCGTGCTGCATTATTATGGACAATCAATGACTTTCCTGCTTATGGTATGTTGTCTGGTTGGATGACAATGGGGAGACTATCATGTCCAATATGTATGGAGAATTCAAAGGCATTCCAATTAAAGCATGGACGAAAATCATCTTTCTTTGACTGTCATCGTCAATTCCTTCCGAATGATCACCAATTTAGGAGAAATAAAACCTCTTTTTATAAGAACAGGGTTGAGAGCTCAATGCCTCCACCTCGCTTAAATGGAGAGGAAGTTTGGGAAAGAGTACAAAATTTTCCAAAGGTCACTGAATATGGAAAAATTGTACCGATTGATGGCTATAAACGCACTCATCATTGGACAAAACAAAGCATATTTTGGGAATTGCCGTATTGGAAAAGTAATCTCATTCGACATAATCTTGATATCATGCACATTGAGAAAAATGTTTTTGACAATTTGTTTCACACTGTAATGGACACAAAGGGCAAAACAAAAGATAATACCCAAGCTCGAATGGATGTGAAAGAATATTGTCGACGAAAGGATGATGAACTTGTAGAAAGAGGAGGAAAAATTGTGAAACCAATTGCAAAATATACATTGAATTTAGAACAGAAACGATTGATTTGTCAATGGGTAAAAAACTTAAAGCTCCCTGATGGATATGCATCAAATCTTGCTCGATGTGTAGACATGAAAGAAGCAAAGTTGTATGGAATGAAGAGTCATGATTGTCATGTATTCATGGAACGCTTGCTTCCAATTGCCTTTGCTTGTCTGCCTGAAGTTGTCTTGAATCCTATAGTGGAGCTCAGTCAATTTTTTGCACAACTTTGTTCTACTACTTTGATGATAGATCAATTAGAGGTATTAGAGCAAAATATTGTTTTAACGTTGTGCAAGTTAGAGAAAGTCTTTCCCCCAGGGTTTTTTGACTCAATGGAGCATTTACCTATCCATCTTCCGTATGAAGCTAAAGTTGGGGGACCTGTTCAATATCGATGGATGTATCCATTTGAAAGGTAACTGTTCGTATTTCTTTAGTTGAGGAGAAACATCTAATAAGATGAATAATTAATCTTAGGTTTTATTTTTTTATATGTAGGTTTCTCTATACTTTGAAACAAAAGGTGAGGAATAAATCTCGGGTTGAAGCATCAATATGTGAAGCTTACATAATTGAGGAGACTGCGATGTTTTGCTCGCATTACTTTGAGCCAGGTGTTCCTCCAAGAATAACAAGGCCTATAAGAAATGATGATGGTGGAGAATTAGAGTTGCCAGCAATTTCTGTATTTAACTACCAAGGAAGACCTTCTGGAGAATGTAACTCCCGTTTCATGGAGGATGAAGAAGTCAAAGCCGCCACAAGATATGTTCTAATGAATTGTGATGAAGTGCAACCTTATATGAAGTAAGTGATATTGAAATAAATGAGATTTTATGAAAAATATTTGCATGATTAACACAATACTTTCTACATGCAGTTTTTTCATACAAACATTAAAGGAAGAGAACCCTCAAATTACAAACAATGAGATGGAGTCCCAAATCAATGACAAATTTCCAGCATGGTTTAAAGATTACGTAAGTATTAAAATTTTTTACAACTTATAATAAACCTTATTTAACATAGTACTAATTGTTAATGTTATGCAGGTTCAAAACCCTGTTAATAATATTGTGGATTCATTTTTGCATGACATTGCTTGGGGCCCAAAGAGAAGCGTGAGAACATGGCCTATGTACTTTGTTAATGGGTATAAGTTTCATATAGCTTTGCTAGCCCATCAAAAATCAACGATAAATAGTGGGGTGTGTATTAGGGGAACAGACTATGCAGAATCAGAGCATGACTTTTATGGCATTCTTCAAGAGATTATGGAGATTGAATATGTGGGTTATCCTGTGAAGAGACTAGTGTTGTTTAAATGTGAGTGGTTTGATCCAACACCAAATCGTGGTACAAGGGTTCATCAACAATATGGTACTGTTGAAGTTCATGAATCACGAAGATATCACAAGCATGATGATCCATTTATTTTTGCCCAACAAGCAAAGCAGGTGTACTACACGCCTTATCCTTGTTGTCGTAAAAAAGCTAATTGGTTAGCTGTTATTAATACTAAAGCACGTAGTATAATTGAGACTCCTATATCTGAAACAAATATGAGAGCATTTCAAGTGGATGGACTAGAAGTCATACTACCAATAATTGTTCTTGATGATGATGAATCAAATAATCAAAGAGTCTCTGAGATTCATTATGAAGAAGTAGATATGCCAGTTGATAATATGGTTTATGAAGAAGAAGAGGAAGAAGAAGAGGAGGAGGAGGAGGAGGAGGAGGATGATGATGATGATGAAGATACAGAAGATAGTAAGGAAGATTTTTATATGGATGAAGATGAAGATGAAAAAAAAAGATGATAATGATGCCTAAATTATAGTGATATCTTATTCTCAGTTGAGTTTGAGTTTGATTTCATTGACTTTTAATTTATTTACTTTTAATTATGATTTATTTTGTGATGATTATTTATTACTAACTCAAGGTGTTTGAATATGCAGATGGTAGGTTGTGGTTCAAAGCGTGATCGAGCACAATTGAGCAATTCATCTTCTCCACATTTGTCTAACCAACTTAACAAATTTCTGATTCCTACATCTTCTCTACCTATGGGTGAAGCATCCACTAGGTCTCCAATTATAGATGAAGCATGTAGCAGACCTTCATTATCACCTGCATTATCTCCAGTTATGACTCAATCAGAGAGTAGACCCTCGTCATCACCTCAAGTATCATCTCCTCAGATCCCATCTCCTGGAACTGAAAACTCACATCCCCCTACTCCACAGACCCATCCTACTAATTTTTTCCCATCGGGTTATGATTTCTCAGATGGTCGGACATGGATATATCCTGAAAAGAAAACGTAAGTTGCCGTCAATATTATATTATTTCACATTTTCATGTAGTATATTAAAGCAAGTCTAACAGCGTTTATAATGACTTTTTGTGCGAAATTGTTATTAGGTTTAATCCTGCTGTTGCTACTGTACGGAATATTCTTCCTATTATTCAGCAAAAATTTGACCATCCATGCTCTAGCTGGAAAGTGACACCCCCCGAGTATAAGAAAATGTGGTTTGATGAATGGGCGGTAAATCTTATCTCTAATTATATTTTTTTTATGTCTTCAATTTTGTCTCATCATATTTAGTTTATATTTTTCTTTTGTTTGTCATTTACACAGTGAAAATACAAGTGGTTACCACAATATGATGATGCTATTAAGAAAATCTGGAATACAAAGTGTGCAGAAATTTTAAGAAATACAATGCATACTGTCAGGCATGACTTGTATCAAAAACAAGTCAGGGCTAAGTGGATTCCTCGTCCAGTGATGAATGAGTTAGAGAGAATATGGGCATCAGAAGATTACAAGGCGAAGTGTGAGATTGCTAAAGTCAATAGAGCCTCAACCACAGGGGGCACTCAACATAAAGGTGGGAGCATTCCTAACACTGAGCATAAGAGGAGGCTGGTAAGAATTAATCTTCAAATTAGATCATTATTTATTAAATGCATTTATTTATAAAACATTCTTGTAAATAATTGCAGGCTCTGGAGTTAGGAAGAGACCCTTCTATGTTTGAATTGTTCAAGAAGACGCATTTAAATGATAAAACCGGAAAATTTGCAGACCAGCGAGCGGAAATAGCTCATGTGAGTATATGTTTTTAATGTTTGTCATATTGAATCATTGAAATTGTGCTGACTGCTTAAAACCACGCTAGTGTTAGGCAACAATTTTTTACTTTTGATTTGTTGGAAGTTATAGAACTTATAGACATGCTATTCTCTAATCTACTTTGCTTTGTTATTGAACTTGAGTTAGATTTCATATTGTTTAATTTGATAGGATTGGTGAATATGTTATCATTTGCTGGGAATTAGTGAATAATGTTATCTTTTCTTATTTTTGGTGTAATTTTATTTCTGTTAATTGGTTTTGCTAAAAAGACTCTCATATTTGTTTTACACCAAACTTGTTTGGGTTGTTGTGGACTTATTTTTTTGAAGTTGGGGATTAAGTTGAGCAGGATCTTACTTTCCAGGAAAAAAAACGAGGTATTCATTTTCTGCTACAACAATTTGGTAAAAGAAAAATTTATAGTTTTAAATTCAGCATATTTTATAGCATTAGATTCAATTTTTTTTCAAATCATATAAGAGTGGGATATTTTTATTTTTGTGTTTATGGTTTTACTTGACATTACTACTAAATTGATATCACTTCATGATCATGAATTCTTATATAAAATTTACTTTTATCTTATTTACTAATAATATTTTGTTTAATAGGATGAATTCATGAGGAGAAAGGCAGAATTAAGCTCTGAAAGAGGCTCTCCAAGTGTGCAATCTAACCAGGAAGAATTTAACATATGGTTAGAGGTTACAGGTGGTAAGAACAAGAAGGGTCGCATCTATGGATTTGGATCTGAGGCTGATGATGATATTTGTACACCTCAGAGATCTTCTCCTTCCATCAATAGCACAAGCATGAATACTAATGTTGAAACTGAACTACGCACAAGGATAACAGAGCTCACACAAGAGAATCAACAAATTAAACAAGAGCATCAAGAGATGAAACAAAATTATAGCAAGATTATGTCTGCATTGGAGCAAATGGGAATTAGATTATCTGAGCCCTCTAGTAGCAATATAAATTTAGAAAATGACAGTTGAGAGTTGTTGTTGTTATTAGATAGTTGGGTTATTATTTCTGACTTTTGGTTGACATTTGAGTTGTTCAGGATCTATCACAGATTATGTATTTTTCAATTATAGCATGTTTGATTTTCATCAAATTCGCTGTCTTGCTCTTAACAATTTAATCAAAATAAAATAATAAAAAGTAAAAAAAAAAGAATTACGGACATTAGCCACGGAATTTCCGACGGAATATTCCGTGGCTAATTTGCCACGGAATAGTCCGTCGGCAATTCCGTGGCAAATTTGCCACGGAATAGTCCGTCGGCAATTCCGTGGCAAATTAGCCACGGAATATTCCGTCGGAAATTCCGTGGCTAATTTGCCACGGAATATTCCGTCGTTAACTTTCTGACGGACAATATCCGTCAAAATTCTGTCGCAAATTTCTGACGGAATTTCCGTCGGAAATTTGCGATAGAATTGAAGATTCCGTCGCAAATGTAATTAGCGATGAAAAATTTTCCGACGGAATACGTTCCGTCAGAAATTCCGTCGGTAATTCCGTTCCGTCGCAAATCCGTCAGTAATTCCGTCAGTAATTTTGTATTCCGTCAGTAATTCCGTCGGTAATTGCCTGTTTTTTTGTAGTGATATATGGTTGATGGCAACTTAGCTTAGGGTTTTTGTGTGGTAATTTCCGTATGATATTTCTATTTGTTAAATTGATAATGGATATTTAAAATTAGCAATTCAAGGCATATTATTTTGTAATTTTATGCCTTCACATCATATCTTCTTATTTTGACACAACCTCCATGTTGGAAGATGAGTGAAACAAACGTGCATAAACGAATTGATTCTCTTATTGATAAGTATTTGTATTAGTCACTAGGGATCTATGCAAATTGTTTGCAACTCATAAGATGATACTAAATTATATTTAATGATTGTGTGTGTTTTAGACACAATACTAAACTTTCCACATATCTTATATGACTAGAGTGTTATTAGTAATTTATTGAATGTTTGAATCAAATAAAAATTTCCAATATTTAGAAAAGGGTAAAAAAAATTAATTAATGTGAACTAAAATATTTTTGTGGGATTGAAAGGAAGGATATTCTTAGAATTAAAAGGGTGTAATTATTTTCTATCAATGATTCATTGATTTTCTTTTCTATGAATGTTTTATTGCAAGAGTTATAGAAAATCATTTGAAAGTATAAAAAGAAAAAATTTTAGGATACAGAATAGTTATAAGTACAAGTTTGACTTTAGCATATATCCATAAAAAAAGAAAAGAAAAGAGGAAGTTGCATTAAAAGGATGTTGTGCAGGGTTCATCAACTGCTCCTAAATATTTTGGAATAGTAATATAAATTACTATAATAAAAAGTTTTGATTAAACTCTAAAATGAATTTCTTGAAGAATTTAGAGAGCAAGGATTGTCAAGATCTTAATAAATGTTTAGGATTATATATGTGTGGAAGGTTCTATGAAATGTCTATATAAGCTTATAAATTAATTTATAAATTATAAAAAATTATTCATGAATAACAATAATGTTTGGACAAATGTAAGTATAAGTTTGGGGTCTTTGAGTGGAAATCGATTTTTTCTATGAAAACTATGGTATTGATATAATAAATAATTAATTGTTGGACTCTAACAACGCTATTACAATATAAGTGTGACTTTTTGACTCTTTCTCCTAGATTATAATTGTTGAACTTTATGTAAATATCATTATAAGTTGTGTTCTTTAAGTAACTTAAGGGGAAAAAAAAGGAGAGGATATTTAATGAATAGATTATAATGTGTAATGGTGATAGCTTTAATTGTTTCAAACTACTGTGTTTAGTGTGAGTGGAAAAAAATTATGTGTATTTAGAGAGGGATACTTACACATAAATTTTCATGACAAGTGTGAGTGGATATGAAACTATATTATGTTAGATTTTTTTTTCCTTTTGGTATAGGGGCAGGGTCAGTAATATAAGATGTGCAACTATCTATTAAGAAAATTTTAATTAAAAAAAAAGGATAATACTTGAACTAGACATTTACAAAAGGATAAAAATAAATAAATAAATAAATAGATGTCTTTAATCTGAGCAGCACAATAGAATTGTGATTCATAAATTGTGGGGAGATATATATATGTGTGTGTGTGTGTGTGTAAAACCAATATATGTAATCATGTGAAATTTGAATAAAGAGATTGTATGTGGGAGAGCTAAGTTTAAATGAGATAAAGAAAATCATGATAAGAATTTTGTGGACAAAATTCTATTTAGGAGGATAGAATTGTAATATTTTAATTTTTTGTGCCTAGAATTTAATTAAATCTATAAATAAATATCTTTTAGCAAAAAGTTAATGGAGGTTAAAACATAGGCAAATTTAATTAATCATGACTCTGTGCGTGTAATATTGTAAAAATGAATAGCATAACATGATATAAAAGTCCCATATCGACTGAATAATAAAATGAGGGAGCTCTAAGAATCTATATATAGAAGGTAGTAGGCAAAGCTAAGAATAAGCTAAAAAATTTTCCCACACATTTAAGGTAGTCTCAGAAAAGTACTAGTTTTGAGTTTGTAAACTGTTGGATAGAGATGAAATTTTGTCAACCTGTTTATGACATCCAACTTCTCAATTTCAACAGTTCAATTGTTGATTTAATCTCTAAGGTATGAGTTATTAGGTACACTTTGAACTTTTTTTTTTCAAATTTTGTAGATAGAACCCTGAATAGTAAATTATTGTTTTTAAATTTATTCACCATTGGATTGAGCCAAAATTTAGAGAATAGACTCATGAAAGATAAGAAATCAAATTCAATGGTCAGATGAATGATTTAACTTCTATAGTGAGAATAGACTAACTCAAATTAAATCTATTTATCTAAGTTCTTCGAAGATAGAACATAAGCTATAAATTGAGAGTTTTCTATCTAGGTTATGAACTTGATAATTCTATTGATATAACCTAATGATTAAAGGATAACTTAAGTTAAGAGAATCTAGGAATTGAATCTAAATCATCATATATATATATGTGTGTGTGTGTTCTTACTCCAAACCTTAGAAAAAAGCATTTTGAGCTAGAATTCTAAGTAACAGTTGAAACTCTTAGAGAAGGAGTTAGAGGCTAGAACTTTGTGAGTAGTTTACTCTACTATTGTAGAGATAAAATTTTCATTTTTTTCATAGATATAAACCTTATTGTGGCATTTTCAAGTTCGGCCCTTGGTTGTATTTGATTGTTAGCTAGAAGACCAAGTCACTAAATTTCTATCTGTTGTATGCTCTAGTAGTGAAAAGTTTTTTTACCCTTGATATTGTGTATGATTGGGTTCTATTCTTTTCTATCATGGATAACAGTATTATATAGTAAGTTAGTTTACAAGACCATAATAGATTTGAGTTTGTTGTTAGCATAGTTTGGTTATAAAAAATTTGTTTCTTAAAGTTACTCTGAAAAGGTTAAGCTTATCAAACAATTTAGGAAGGTTCTTTCATGTCCCGTCCTATGAACACTGAAAAGACCTTTCCTTAAAGCCACAATTTCACAATAGTTTAAGAAGTTAATCATGGTAGATAAAAAATTTGACTAGATTATCAAAATCTATCAGGGTTATAAAGAGTTTGGTATAAATCGAAGTCCTCCAAACCAATGACAATAACAAGTAGGGCCGAGGGCCCAATAGCCGGCTATAGAGCCATCCCAAAAATCTATCACATAAAGACTTAGGACATAAAAAAAGTAAGGGTTAAGCTCAGGCCACAAGTCACACATGATTAACTCTTACAATCTCAAAAACACAACAATCGTCAATAAGATAGCAGTTTTTTCCCTTAAATGGTGACAAACGTGGATCCACAAGGCTCATGCATAAGAAATCCTATGGCCTCTAGCTATTAAGTAAATGTTCTTCAAAATACAGTAATCTAAATGTATGAAAGAGATAGTTAGATATGCAGATACAAAATATGAATCCTAGCATGGTAAATATACAATCATTACAAATCTAAGCTGAAAAGACCTTTTCTTGAAACCACAATTTCATAATAGTTTAAGAAGTTGACCATGGTAGATGAAGAATTTAACTAGACTACTGAAAGCTACCAGGGTTATAAAGGGTCTAGTATAAATCAAAGTCTACCAAGCCAATAATAATAACAAGGAGGGTCCGGGGCACAATAGCTGCCCATAAAGCCATCCTAAAAATCTGTCACACAAAGACTTGGGGCACAAGAAAAATAAGGCTAAGCCCAACCCACAAGTCACACCTACTTAACTTTTACAGTCTCAAAATTATAATTCATTCCAATTAAGCTTTTTTCTTATGAATCTGGAAGTTCTTTTTAGATACAAGGAAATGATTTAGTTCTAGATCCAAAGATTGTAGTTCTTGAACAAGCAATGAAAAAGATTTTGGTACGTCAATAGAATAGGAGTTTTCCCTAATGGCTATAAACATGGATCCTCAAGGCCCATATGTAAGAAATCCTATAGCCTCCGACCATTAAGTAAATACTCTACAAAATATAATAATCTAAAAGTATGAAAGAGACCGTTAGATATACATATACAAAACATGAAGCATAGCATAACAAACCCAAGCCATGAGAAGCTTACTAGGTTGTGTTTGTCTAAGCCTCTAGCTACTTTCCTTTACAACATAAGGTACCAAAAGGCTCTCTTGAAAACAATGAGATTAACGAGGTAAACATAAAGTCCTAATAATGAAAGCTCACTTTACAATATATACTAATAGGATGGTAAGCAGGTGTAGTAGTGCCATACATAAATATCTTAAGTTAAAAACATGTGAACGCATATGCAACAATCAACACGGTAGTATGCCCTTCCATCCACCATTACTACTCCTTATGACTCCTTGACATGGACCCCAAACCATCCATGCAGAATAGCCCAGCCAAAGATCACCCTACTCATATTAGTTCAATAAGTCCCCTCCTTACTCCATGGTTTAGTGAGGGCCAATAAGATGTCTACTTAA